TTTTGGCGATGTCTGAGTGTCAGGACAATTCCGCGGAAAGGCCGGTAAGCCCTTATACCAGCTAATCTCAATCTTCGGGTCACTGTGCGACGACTGATACGATGCCCGAGTGCCGTAGCCGCCGTCGACGTTGCCGTCACGAACCTGTTCCGGAGATGGATAGTCCGGATGTAGCGGTCTTCTATGGGTGTAGTGACCCGTGGCCGTCCACTTCTCGGCCTGTCTTGAGTGCTACCAGTATTCCGGTAACGTGTGAACAGCCTGGAGATTGTTGCTGGGGTACACCCGAACGTTCTGGCAAGATGAGCTTGGGTAGCTCCCATATCGCGCATTCCAATGGCTCGCTCTCGCTGAATTTGTGTCAGCTTCGGCATTTTTGCATGTGCTTTCAGTTACTGTGATATGCCAGCGTGTATCCATCCCATTTCTACCCGACTGGTGCACGTGCATGTTCGTGATTTTCAAAGATTACATGTTATACCTTTTTCTCGTGCTAGGGGTCACGTGACTACATCTACTGACATCACTACCATTCTGCAATATTCTCGTGACTTTGACAATGTTTGCTTTGGATGTTTCATTGGAATTTAGACATGCTCAATTTCCCCAAACCAAATTGAAAACGTTATACTAACTTTTGCCCGTCAGTTTAGTATTTATTTTGGATTTAATACGCAATTCTTAAGCAGAGTACCATTTCAATCATCGGACTCCAGATGAAATGATGCAAGCAGTTAATATGTTCATGTCACTGAAAAGCTGTTTGATTGTTATTTCAGTTTTCAGATGCAGACGCTGCCTTAAGGATGATACCTCAACTCAAGGACAATCAGCAGCACACTTACTCCAGCACCCATGGCTTAAAAGCCTTTTATAGGAAGATACATTGCAGTAAATATGTTGGTCAATAGTGAAAGCTATGATATTCTTGTCCTTCTGAAATATACGACACTAAACTGTCTAACTTCACACGTGTAAATTGTAACACTATTTGTCGTGGACACTTGTTTGAATATGATCAGCTAAGCAGGTTATGTCCACAAGAACTGTCGACCTTAGCAGACTGTTGGTCATTCATTTGCCTATAAAAAGCAGACAGGATAGGGAACCAAATGCAGAGCTGGCAGTCAGCAGGAAGAGCGCGGACAGACCTGCAGAACATTCGTAACTACTCGCCTTTTCCCGTGACCTACAAGAAGACTCGTACCCCTATCGTACGCCATTATTGCCAAGAATCGTGGCAAACCAATCAAATCGCGCGTAGTAAAACGCATTTCGAAGCATGAAAATGATGGCACTGTTGAACTTTGAAACTTCGCTAAACTATGCAAAGCACAATTTAAACATAAACTTTGAGCTAAAGGATCAGAAACTTTAAACACTGAAACATATTTACAATGGGAATGACTGTATTGCTGTTTTGCCCACGGGATGTAGGATATTCTATAAGCCATGTTTGTAAATTCAGAATTATCTTTCCTTTGTAATAGTACTAAACTATTTTCATCTCCATGCCCGTTTGCGCTTAGACAGGGCCCAGTCGTAAACATGGCCACGAGAGGGGTACGAGACGCCATCCGGCTTGCCGGAAGGACACGAGTAGTTACGAATGACCTGCAGAAGGCAAGGGACAAGGAGGACGAACACTGACCAGCCGATCCAGCCGCCATGCTTCTGCTGCCGAAGTGTCAGCCTGACTTTGCCGCCTTCCCAATGGTAGTGTCTGTCGGACTCTGTGTAAACTATTCGCCCTGCCTAGCATAGTTGAACTGCGAGAATAGAAAAACTCAACATACCCATTCTTTGTACGCCACTACAACTCCTGTTGTTTGAAGAGTGCCAGAGATGTTATAGAAAATCACACCAGGCTGTTAAAAATACTGTTCACTGTGAAATCCTGACCCAGTGTTCCTGAGACGCCGCGCCCACATATTGAGAGATATTCTTTGATGTGAAGATTGTAATATCACATTTCATACATGTAATAAAGACATCGCTATCGACTAACTTGTTTATCTAATGTTAGCCACCTTAAAACATGGCTGTATACTTTCTTTAGTCCGTCAGTACAGTACTCCTCACACGTTAAGCGTAAAAACAGTTTGTGCATAGACACAAATTTCAAGCGAACAAAACGGAAGTTGTTATACGCACCCAAATACCCCAAAGCGACATAAACCTTCACTGTATAACAGAGATAGGGCTTAGCTTAATGTTATGTAAGGAATATAGAACACCGTTTCAAATTCGTTACGGCGTGGTCGAATATTTGATATAGCAACATTTATCTTTTTTTCATCCAGATCCAAGCCAAGGTGAATGTGTGTTTGTGAAGTGCTCGAGGTTCATAGTTAGCTCAGGTGCTTTTATTTTTATGCTGTGTCAGAAAAAAACCCCCATTGGGTCTGGTCAGGACTTGGTATTCTTTGAGAAAGGGGTTTTATTGTGTTAGAGTGCCACATACAATAAGAGTTACCATGCCATGACTATAATCCCCAACCCTTTTCTGTGTGGATTATTTTAAAGGTAAACTGTAAACGCTGGGTACAGAGAGTATCTCCCAAATCAGACCCAAAGGTGTTTAGTGTCCCTAAGGTGAAAATGTTATGAATGTGTCGCTGGCGAAAATAAAAAGCTGGTCCTGTCGTATCGGCAGCCACACGCATGGATGTGCAGAGGCAATAACCACTATATCTCCCTTCTTGTTAGATATCCATTACTTGTGATGGCATCTTCCACTATGTGGTTTGACGGTGTAAAAACAGGTCTCGCATGCACCTACTCACTTCCTTCGAGTATCAGCCTGTTAGATTGTGCACTATATGATTATTGCATACACTATAATATTGACACTTTCCCTTATGACGGCTGCTAAAATTTTAGTCAAAGACATTAGGGGTGTAACGATTCATCGATAGTATCGATGTTTGCATCGTCAACTACGCGACACGAGTGCATCGATACAAAACACATTTAGGAATTTATCAGGATATTTATATCGCAAGGGTCCACGATACATCGATGTATCGCCACAAGAGACGATATATCCCGATACAACTTCAATACTACTTAAAGTTGTAAGGAGTATTGCATTAGGAATAGGAGGGGAGTCTCTTTGAAATTCTTCTAAATTTTAAAAACAAATTGAACCTTTTAGGAATTTGTTTGTGTCTGTTATCTTTGTGACATGGACAAAGGAGTTGGTGTATATGTGAAAGAGTGTGAACATTTTTCAAACTCTGTGAACTGTAGATTACTTGTCTTTAAGTAGTTGAAAATAATGTTTGACAAATAACACCATTTATTAACAACTATAAACGATGTCTTAGCTTTGTTAAGAAAGAGAACAAAGAGAAGATAAAATGTAGAAAGCATACTTCTTTTCGGTGATTCTGAATTCTGATATAAATTACATTCAATTGTTTGTGAAAGCATCGGTGCAGAAACACAACTTCCCAAAGGAAACTTCAGTTTCAAACTTATATATGTTAGATCTAAGTATACTAAATATGTTTGACTGTAATTTAAAAGCATTAAATGCTGAAACTTTATTAAATGAACAGATTTTAAGTGTGTGTGAATGTAACACAAGATCTGCTGTATAACAAATAAAGGTTCAGTCATTTTATCTATCATATATGTTCTGCTATTAGAAATTACCATTGTATCGTGATGATGATTGTCTCGCAGGTTCCTTGCCAATACTTTCATGATATATCGTCTCGCCTCATTAAACTGGTTTCGGGATATATCGTCTCGCCACTTAGACAACGATACACAACTCTAAAAGATATACGTCAATGTGAATATTATCCCACAAGCAAATGAACTCATGGTTTTGAGTTAATCCTTTTAACGCTTATCTCTTGGTCTACATGACACGGCCCACCAGTTTGGGTTGGATTTCATGTGGATACACCAGTAAGTGATCCTAGTCGTTGTGAAGCGTTGCTTTGTGTGTGTACCAGTCAAGGGAGAGTTGTTCTACAAAGGGTACGTCTTCAATTTACTTTATTCCAATGTGATAATGTGTTTTACACAACGGTTTGAGTAAATGGACATTTATGTAATATCGTCATATTTTGTTTAGGTTCTTTCTCGTGGGGGCACAAGCGAGAATGTGTTTTTCGAGTTTGTTCTTTAAACAGCACTCAGTAATATTTCCAGCTATATGACGGCGGTATGTAATCACTCGAGTCTGGACCAGACAATCCACTGATTGACATTGTGAACATTGATCTAGGTAAGTTGGATACAATGACATGTCTCAACCACGCCAGAGACCCTGACCATCCGATCCCCAAAATGACCTTCTTAAAAGAACTATAGTTTACTGAGAACATTTATCCTTTCACGGAGATCCGGTTTCATCATTCAATACAGAATTAGCGTGTGTGTGTGCGTGCGTGCGTGCGTGCGTGCGTGCGTGCGTGCGTGATGCGGTGGAGTGTAGAGTTCCGGCAGGCATACCAGGGATGGGGTTGATGAACCCTTAACAAGATAACGTGGAAGTCAGTGACATTAAGGTGACAGAAAGGGAACAAACCAGTATACTGGTGAACACCGACAGGAAACACGAAAAGTCGATATATACACAGACGAGGCAGTCGCTCTATTAATTATAATGAAGACTCACAGGCACTGATACGCGTACACTCACAGACACGCATAGACCTATGTGTCTTTGTGGACACACACTCGCGCACGAACGCATACACACACACACACACACACACATACCTACCTACATGCAGCTGTCTATATATACCCACATCAGACATGTTACAACGGTGACAGCTGAACGTAAATGTGCTGAATCAAAGTAAGCACGGATGTTGCCGATTACTGAAGTGGCCTTCATGGATTCAATACTCAAGAGTTAGTGATTGCTAGAATTCTTTCTAATATTTATTCGTTTATTGTCATTTAGGAACATTTGGTGCGTTTGCTTGCTACTACATCGAGCACTCGCCATGACGACGCTATTGCTGGTGGTGGTGTCAGTGTTGACAATGAAGACGCTCTGTCAAACCAACAGAGGCTACTGTCTCCATAGCGGGTTGGAACTACCCGACGTTGGCTTCCTGAACACCAGTGCCAAGTGCGCCCTCTTGAAACCAAGGGATTACATTCTCCCGCGGATTGATCCTGGACAGGTAAACTACTTATACACAATAAGGAGGAATCACAGAATTGTATTCTGTCACTCTCCTCAAAGACTTTTAATGGCCGAATCCACGCATGGATATGGCGGATTAGTTTGCCCCAATTAACAGGTAAGGTTTCTGTGAACCCGGCACTTTCCAAACCTGCCCAATGTTCCCCGTGGCGCATGTAGCAGAGGGCTTGCTTTGACCACACACCGGACATATCGTCATCCATTTGGTGACTAGATCGTTCAGTTGAGGGAGGGTCAAATTCAGGTTTCAATCGACTTGCAGAAATAACAATAAAGAATTGGTAAGTGTCATGAGTGGTGCTCGATAGGCCAATCATCCATGATTATATTTACTTTACGTTTTAATAGATTGCATGCGATGGTAGCGTAGCGATCAGCAAAGCAGGCGGGTGGGGTACACCGAAGTGTCCGGCCTTGTCATGATGTATTGTACCAGGGAGACTCTATAAGGGGGAGTGGTCACTCCTCGGAAAGCTCCTAAGCTATGCCTCTGCTCGTCACGTGACCAGTGCAGCCAATATGGCGGCAGCGTAGTTTTTAAGATTGAGCCCGGTTTATTTTCAACAGCTGATTACATACGCTGAGTGTTGTGACAACTGAAAACCTACACGTAGAAGATAAGTTACCTATTCTGTCACTTCATTTTAAGTCAAATACTTGTTATTAGTGTCAGTATAAGTACAGTAGCTTTGTAGTAAAGTTTCAAGTGGGCATGTTGTAGCTCACTGGCTTCAATTCTCAGTACACAGCGAAGAAAGACTAAATTATATCGCTAAAAACTTCTTTCACATATTCGTTTAATTTTTAGAAGGGAAATATACCTTTAGTTAAAAGGTGTTTGCAAGTAATAGTGATATTTTTATAACTAAAAAAATTTGTTAGGGTGTATTTGAGGTGTGTGAAAAATATGACATATCGCCGATCTGCCATTGAAATACTACAGGGCGTTGTTTGAGTGTTTCTAGTTAGTGTTCAAAAACATCTTTCACATACACCTTCAATTTTTATGAGGGGAATATACCATCAGGTGAAAGGTGTTTGCAAGTAATAGTGATAGTTTTATAATTTAAAAAAATTTGTTAGTGTGTATTTGAGGTGTGTAAAAATATGACATATCGCCGATCTGCCATTGAAATACTACAGGGCGTTGTTTGAGTGTTTCTAGTTAGTGTTCAAAAACATCTTTCACATACACCTTCAATTTTTATGAGGGGAATATACCATCAGGTGAAAGGTGTTTGCAAGTAATAGTAATAGTTTTATAATTTTTAAAAATTGTTAGTGTGTATTTGAGGTGTGTGAAAAATATGACATATCGCCGATCTGCCATTGAAATACTACAGGGCGTTGTTTGAGTGTTTCTAGTTATTGTTCTAAAACATCTTTCACATACACCTTTAATTTTTATGAGGGGAATATACCATCAGGTGAAAGTTTTTTGCAAGTAATAGTGATAGTTTTATTTTATTTTTTTTGTTAGTGTGTATTTGAGGTGTGTGAAAAATATGACATATCGCCGATCTGTTCTGATACGCCATTGGTGCTTGTGATGCTTGAGTGTTATAGTTCTAAAACTTCTTTCTTTCTTGTTGATCTTAGTATTTGACAAAACTGGAAAGGTGTTTGCAAGGCTTTGTGATAGTTCTAAACTTTCTGTTCTTGAGGGGTCTGTGACAGTGTCAGTTAACATTCTGTCAATGCCCATGTCATTCCACACATGCAATAAGATATCTGAATTAGTTACTAATGTAAAAAAATGTCTCAAAGTAGATTTTTTATAAAAAAGGACAGCTGATGTTAACATGTGTTCTACCGATAGTTTTGCGTTCTTTAACATGTTTGGGGAGGGATGGCCGTGGTGTATCATTTATTCTTTCATTCATTCACATATGTTCTTTTTCTTTTGTTCTTTTTCTTAATTTCTTTCATTCATTCACATAAAATTCTTGCTCTTAATTCATTCATTCATTCATTGTAAAATTCCGACCTATACAATACACTGGCTGAAGTACTGTTAAACGCAGCCGAAGTTGCGCTGGGACCGAACCAAGTCACTGTGTGCGTTGGAGCATGACGAGGCACACGTTAATTAGTACAAATGGTAAAGAAAGCAAGCGAGTGACCTATCCCTGTTGTAGAGTATCCTGCTCTTAATTCATTCATTCATTCATTGCAATCCTCGGATCCCTGGGCATAAAACATGTAGTACATTTGGAACACTCTCGGGGGCGCACCCCACCCCCTTTCTGGAACCGCGCATGGTACCTATATCTGTAATTACGTTTCACACAGCTGTCAAAAATATCCCGGTCCAAGAGAAGTGAGCGAGTGAGTGAGTGAATACGGTTTTACGCCGCCTTTACCAATATTCCAGCAATATCACGGCGGGGACACCAGAAATGGGCTTCTCACAATGTACTCATTTGGGGAATCGAACCCGGGTCTTCGGCATGACGAGCGAACGCTTTAGCCACTAGGCTACCCCACCGCACCGGGGTCCAAGACAAATGCCCTTCAGACCTTGTACACATTCTGTAAATCGACTCCCCCGAATATTTTGAGGTATGTTACCCCAGTCGTTGTATATCCAGTAAAGCATTTTCATGGATGAACCACGTGATGTTGGTTTTGCCCTTACTTGTGTGTGTATCTTTTACTTTCTCTGTGAGTGATAGATTATCAGTCACAACCTATTTCATGTTTCGTATATCCTGCCGGTTTCGTTTTCATGTCGACATACAATATTTTCTTTTGCCACGATGGTGAATCTGGAAAAATATGGCGTCATGTTCACGCGGGTACACTCTGCCGTGCGGTTACTCGGGCGTTCTATTTTCACCGGTGAGTTTACGATTTCAGTGTCGTCTCTTCTTTCGGTATGGTTTGAATACGGAGCCTTGACGTTGAGGGAGTGAGTGGATTTGAGTTTAGCATTATTTCACCAATATCATGGCTGGGACACCACAAATGGGACTTCACATAGTTAACCCAGTTGGAGAATCGAACCCGGTCCTTCGGCGTGACTAGAGAGCGCTTCAACCATAAGGTTACCCCACCGCAGCCACTTATATTGAATTACCAGCATGTTATTAATGTATGAATCCCTGCACTCATTGAGTGAGTGAGTGAGTGAGTATGGTTTTACGGCGCATTTATCAATATTCCAGCATTATCAGGGAGAGGGACACCGGGGATGAGCTTCACAAGCGGACACTTTATCCATGACACTACCCCACCATCACGTTTACTTTTTGAGTAAATATAAATTTTTCAATATTCTTGTCCCATTCTAGAATTGTCGACTAGGTACATGTTGGAAAAACATACTGCCGAATATGTTTCCCCCTTTTATAATGTTTCATACAGTTTCACCAAGCGTATGTTTGAATAAAATAGTGCCATTCATATTTTAACCTGTTAACTAGATACAGAAACAGGCATCTTATTATAGAAAGAAATATTGACCGTGAAGGTCACAGAACATACTGCTCGGATTACCAGATGAATAAGATAAATAAAACATTCAAAACGTTTTTACATTAATAAGACATTTCTACTGAAAGCGCCCTGAACATGACTACCGATCGCGCCGTTTTGAAACCAAGGTGTGCGCGGACTGATCCAAGACCGGTAAACTCTGTCTGACATGTTTGACCCAAATACTTTCACTTTCTGATCCACTCTCTGGGCATGCACGCACTGTAGTTCAATGGTATGTTTGTATCTGTGTCCTCAGCGGTTTAAATGGTTGACAACAATATGGATTCAGTAACAATGTGGATTCCGTAACAATGTATATTCAGTAACAATATAGATTCAGTAACAATATAGATTCAGTAACAATGTGGATTCAGTAACAATATAGATTCAGTAACAATATAGATTCAGTAACAATTAGGAGATAAACATCATGTGTTGGCGAATTTCCGGGTGTTATTGAGTATTTGAAGCACGGGAATTCATTTGGAACCGACGGCCGACATGATGTTTATCGACATTGTAAACACAAAAGTAAACCAAAAGGTCCACACACGTATTTTGTGTCTGCTTGACATCGAGTACGGGTACAGCAGTGAAATGTCATCAGCCGGCCGTTTCGGCTGTCTCTCATGGTAGCATCTGGAACTGCTCATTTGTGACGTCATTCGGACTTTACGTCACAATATGATTTTAATGACGTCATCACAGCTGACGACGTAACAATACAATAGGGCCCGTAAGTAGGTCACGGCACTTCGCGAGATATTGCGTTGTTTAGTACTTCCGGTGACAAACAACGTTTTTCGGCAATGGCGATGACACTGTTACATGGGGTATGCCGTGGATAATCATACTCGACACTGGCTGTGTGAATCAGAAACCTATGCCATGTAACAGACTATGGACTGCTAAAGCACTAAGGCAATGTTGCATGAACAGCACGTGAATATTTGCTAAACAGATGCAGAGTTGTCACAGCGTCGTCTTCAGGCTGGCCCATTCATAAGTCGAGGTAAGTTTGTTACATGGATTTCTTTGTTTTCATTTAAAGGCTGGTATTGTTTAAGCATGGCACGCACAGTAAGGGTGACATGTGTGCAGATTGGTGAATTGTTTGATTGCATTTGATATCTTACAGTGGGATTTTTTTGTCCCCCGGAGAGGGGACCTAATACAATATGGCAGGCAGGTATCCGGTATAATGCATGTGTACCCAAAAAACTGTGTTAATAAATAAAGTATCTTGCAGTTGGAATTATCCAGAAGATAACTTAATGTGCAATGAAAATCCAGGTGTAATACTAAAAAAAATAAATGTAATGAATTAAATAATAATTTAATAGTGCGTAAACAATGATGATTATATCCACACTTTGTATTCTGTAATATGAGCTTGATTAATTTATTATTACAACCCCATTTAGCATTTGGTTATGGTGCAGCATGTTCAGTTAAACATAACATCCACATGCTTAATTTATCAATAATATCTTGATGTCAACATTGTAAGGAACTGTTTACATTTTATTAAGTATATCATACTTGGTCTCACGTGTGTTATGTATTTTTCAGTTGGAACAGATGCACATCTTTAAGAGGAGAAAGAAGGAGGAATAGATTTCTTTATCACCACAATTACCATTGACATCAAGAGCAACACAAACTGAAACAGATCTTCAGATTTCTTTTAACATCTGGTGGTCAAGCAATATACATTGCAAATGAAGAAACAGCAAGTCATTGAAGTGTTGTATGTACAGTTATAAAACATATTAAAGCCCTACACATCATCCTTTGGACACTTGCTGGAACAGGAAATGCTTGTAACCAGCAAGGTGTTGTGGAAAGTCTTGGGACTCTCAGATAATTCAGTGAGAATTTAGATGAGTGACCATGAAAGAACATTTGTATTCAAGATGATACTGTTACAGTATTTTTTCAGGGTTAGCATCTGGGAAATGCAAAGAATGTTTGATATGTTAAGAGTAATTATGTCTTTGGAATAAAATTGCAGAATAGTTCTAAAACTTGTTTATTGTTTTTTAAGTGTGGATAAAGCAAGCACAAACTGAATGGTTTGGAAGATTTCTGCTTTTAGCCATGATATTGATTTGACAGTAAATATACAACAATGGATGTAGGAGATTGGATTTTCAGTGGTTTCCAAGTGAGAGAGTTGGGTTTTACACCGCTTTTAGCAATATTCCAGCAACGTCATGCTGGGGAGAGCTTCACACTTTGCACACATGTGGGGAATCAAACCCGGGCCTTCAGTGTGACAAGTGTCAACAGTTTAACCACTAGGTTACCCTATTACTCCAGTTTCCATGAAAAAACATGCTTACCAATGAAAAGTTAAACTTAATCAATGGCATAGGCATGTGATTCTACATGACATGGAATTTTGTTGAAATATGAAATTCTTTGTTTTTATTTGCTGTAAGATTACAACACTGGTTCACAGCACAATAACCAGTACACATTATTCTTTTCCATTATTTTAAAACATATTGGTCTAACTGTATAGTGGAAAGTATGGAATGCCAGTTACCAACCTTGGCCTCATTGGCAGAATATTTGGAATATATAAGTTACTAAAAATGGGTGAAAAACACTATATTACATGACAAGTAATCATACTCATGCTGCTATCAGCCAGTGTCTGCAGAATCTACAGTCATGACATAGTATGTATGCACATTTAGTTTCCCCATGTATTGATCAGTATATTTTACAATACAGGAAATGTCTTTGAGTGATTACTCCATATTTTGAGTGTATTTGGTCTTGCATTTTTGCCATTTTGTGACTTGAAGGTGCTGTGTGCTGCTTCATATTTTGCTTACAGCATAGCAGAACCTCACCCCTGCATAACCAAGAACTAAGTAACACTCATGTACTTTAGATCATTGTACATAGTTCACTCACTCCAAGACATCTAGTACAAAGTGTAATAAATATTGTCCAACAACCAGTTTTTATATATTACCTCTAAAATAATGTTTAAATACATCCTTACCATAATCATAAGAAACCTCTGCTTACTTTACAAGAGCGTGTTTGTGTATCATTGCCAGATAGTGACGATACCAGGTCTAAAGGTGCGCGTTCCCTGCCTAAACCGTCGCATTGACAGAAACACCTTCAGACTTAAGCTGTGCCATCTGACAGAATGTTTATGGACGGACTGGGCTTATGGTAGGAAAACACGCCATCGTCTTGTGTTGAAGAAATAAAAATGCATCTTCTTTGTTGCAGGTTGGTGATGTCACAGAAATGAATCTGACTTCCGGTCAGTCACATCGGAGAATCACTGTGGCAAGAAACCCGCCTTTGTTTGGTAAGTATGGGTTATAGGAATGATTTTTTTTCATGGTCGTTTTCAAGCTAAGAATGCCATTTACAAGAACAGTAGCTCTCCATGGCTGTCATGTTGTACATGTACAAACGCTAGATCTAAAAAAGGGGGATAACTCTCCCCCTGTATCACGTCCCAGTACAACTGCTGTGTAACGACTTACATCACGGGATTACAACAGTAATAAATATACTCATGGAAACGAATATAGGAACATATGAAAGTACAAGCGTTTCTTTATTCATTCCCAGAATTTCACCCACAGTGCAATACATAGGTTATGACAGACTGAGTTTAGTTTTACGCCGCTTTTAGCAATATTCCAGCAATATCACGGCGGGGGACACCAGAAATGGGCTTAACACATTGTGCCCATGTGGGGAATCGAACCCGGAGGTTATGAAGAAATCTGGAAAAGAATAAAGGAACCCTTGTACGTTCATGTGTTTCCTTATTTGTTTCCATGAGTATATTTCGTCAGCTGATCAGTCACACTTGAACTGAAACATGTTCCGCCATACTGAAGACCCTTTCACCATATTAATAAGTGAGTAATAAGTGAGTTGTCGTTTCTTATGACATGAGATATGTCCCGCCCCGTGTATAACGTATTGGGGTGATTTAGTGAGTTAGTGAGTCAAAGCTGAACGCCGTCCAGCATTGTTTCCGTGATGTATAGAGTCATAGATTTGACAGTCTGCTTCCACTTCGCAATTGACGCCAGCCAGTCAATGTTTCGTTCCGCGGAAAAACGACTGACTGACTGAGTTTGGTTTTACGCCGCTTTTAGCAATATTCCAGCAATATCATGGCGGGGGACACCAGAAATGGGCTTCACTCATTGTACCCATGTGGGGATTCGAACCCGGGTCTTCAGCGTGACGAGCCAACGCTTTAACAACTAGGCTACCCCGCCGTCCCGCGGAAAAAGAACCGGCGAAAGAGCAACTTATTGATTGTGTGTCCTGCTGACGTGGCTCGTCACATTCAGTCACCGGTTTGTCTGGACCAGAGGTTACCTTCAGACAAAATCAGGCGCGTAAACCCGATAGGTTGCAAAGCTATATATTTAGATAGTATTGAGGGCTTGCCCAACCTTTTTAGCAAACATCATGTGTAAGCCCGGTTTTTTTTATAATGGTAGCTACGACCCTGGAAATGCATAATTTAGTAGCAGTATTAATTTGCTTATTCACTCTCTATATTCAGAGATCCCTGACTTCCTGACACAAGATGAAACAGACAAACTGATTGGTCTTGCCACCGCCAACGGCCTCGATGTTGCCATGACGGTTGGAGAGAATGGAAGCGTTACACATCAAAGAGGTCGGAGGTCCCAGACCACGTTCCTCCGACATGACCTGGACAGCCTGCTAATCGACATTCGACGAAGGTATCAACATTTTTCGTACATTGGACACTGTGGTTATATCATTTTAATACGTATGAATGACAAATTAAAAAACAATTATAGATCAGAAGTAGGTTACAATTATTTAGTTTTCATTGAATAGCATATGATAATTGTAGACGGGATGTAGACGTCATTAAGTTTGAATTATGCTGGAGAGTACTATGGAATGTTCTGGAAATACCATCAAATACGCTGACGTCCTTTGTCCCTTTCTCACTGGAGTAGCCTAGTGGTTAAAGCGTTTGGCTCATCATACACTGGGTAAATTTCTGCCCATTGACTGTCAAACTGAGTGTAAGGTCATGAGTGTATTGAGTAAAATTGTAAAATGTACACATCAGCAAGGATGGGGCACTGAAAAGCTAAAGCTTCAAGGATCTTTATTGATCACTAGATTGAGCATTTGTCTGTATTTAGGGGTCTGTTGATATGTGTCAATTTGTCAGTTTGCCAAAATGAAACATGATTGAAATTGTAGTTAAGTTCATTTGGCCGGAAGTGTTACTATGTAACTGAGACAGTTCGGGGTATATAAGTGCACTTGCCTCAGTGTCGTTGAATAATTAGTAGACGACACAGATGATATATGCAGATATCCCCTCTTTCCTTGCAGAGTATCCTTACTGACAGACATGCCAATGGACCTTCTTGAGGAAAGCGAATGGTATCAGGTTGGTAACATAGTTTGACAATCTGCCTATAACATGTCCATATCGAATTTCTGTACGTGTTCGTGTGCGTATCGGGATAAGTCAGCCTTTATGGAGGGTTTTTAGATGTCATGAAAACTTCTTCAAGGGCGGATACAGTTTTTTGAAAAGGTGTGTGTGTGTGTGTGTGTGTGCGTGTGCGAGAGCGCGTGTGCGCACGCTATTGAGAAAGGTGTGTGTGTGGTGTTTGCACACTTCATTTTCACTAGAGTTTCAATGGTCTTTTAATAAACTTTCTGGACCAAAGGTGGGTGCGCACCCCTGAACGCCCCCTCTGCGTCCGCCTGTGTTACTCCTTAACAAACTGAAAGTAGCATATGGAAATGTACTGCAGTTTCCAGCTTTATATGGCCTATGCATGCTTGTGTTGATTAAGGCTGCACCCATCCATTGTTTCAGTTTGGTATGTACGGCGTTGGTGACCACTATCACTCCCACTACGACAGTTCATTATCAACGCGGGAAACACTGATGAGTAAACCTTGTTGCCATCAGTCAAGTCCCCCGCACACCAAAACCTCTTGTGTATTGTGCAGGTAATGGTATCGAGCTTCTTGTCATAATTTGTATAACTGAGTGAGTGAGTGAGTGAGTGTTCGTAACTATTTCCACTGCATTTCACGACAGCATCAAAATCATCTGGGTCTGCTGGTACACGGAAACCTGAACCAGGCTGATTTACACATGGTAATCACCCTTGCCTGCCAGTGTTGATAAAAACAATCTGAGCTAATACGATCCTGGAAAATTCGTTTCCTGGTGATTCTTTTCGGAAAATATACGTGTCATTCAAATCTGTTCGAAGCTATACATCCGTGTTCAGCAGTGCCTAAACATGAAACAAACCCCTTCCCACTTTGGATTGGTTTTGATTTCCATTCTCCCAAACACTTCATTTAGGACTTAAACATGGCAACATGAAAGTGCTGGGCAGAAGGGAAAGATTGCGGTTTGAAGAAAGAAAGACCATGGCATTGGCACGCATACACAAACAAGAATAACTAGAAAATCCCCAAAAGAACTACCTGTTATTTCTGTGTCATCACCTGTGTTTAACCCTAATTTCAGACAGGTTGATTGGTTGTTTACTGTTGTTTAGTGTTTATATATTGAGATATCATGGAACATTAAATATTCCAACTGACTGGTTTTGATAGCTGTGTTTGTCCTACATTTTCTGTAATTCAAAATCGGTGGGAAGTTTCGTTTGCTTGTCAGTGTATTTGATGGTGATGTATTTTATATCATGAACGATACTACATGCATATCAATGAGTTTCTAACCCATGAAGGTCCGGGTTAGAATGAACCTTCAGTAACCCATGCTTGTCGTAAGAGGCGACTAACGGGATCGGGTGGTCAGGCTCACTGAGCTTGGTTGACACATGTCATCGGCTCCCAATTACGCAGATCGATGCTCATGCTGTTGATCACTGGATTGTCTGGTCCAGGCTCGATTATTTACAGACCGTCGCCATATAGGTGGAATATTGCTGAGTGCGGCGTAAAACTAAACTCACTCACTCACTCAATGAGTATCTAACACCGCGCACATGGGAACATGGTGGTTTGTATACATTAACCGAGCAGATTAAATTGGAATATTCAAGTAAAGAGTAAGTTAGGTATGTAGTGCCACATTGCTCACGAGTTTGCCACAACCTTGTCTAGCTGGGTTATTGCTGCTGTTTCACGGCGAGTCTGACTGGGTCTACTCTCGTCAATGATTTATACTTAAAGGCTTCCAATTTACAGGTTTCCGTGGGTGTTGACAATGTCTTCTGAAGCTGGTACACACCATGGATAGCCCTAGGATATCCTAAATTTGCTCCTTGGGTCTAGGATAGTTGTCCTATCATATTCTCGAAAGCTATCCAACTTTAAGACATCCTAACTTAACACAAGTACTAGGTTCTAACTTGTCCTAAGTCTATCTTATTGGAAATCAACATGGTGTGGTTCTTGTTTGTTGATCAATTTTGACGTTGTCAAGCAAAATAACTCGAATAAAATTACTTTTGTATTTACAACAGCACATAAAGCTCATTTGAACTAAAGGTTTAGTTCTTAGGTGATACGTGACTCACGCTGTTTCATGGACAGGTAGGGTACTGACATAGGAGGGTAAAGGGTTCTCTTGCACACAGTGAGCGGTGTCTATGTGGAAGATTGCTATGTGGCACATGACCAGTCACCCCACCTCTCGCTTGTCCACAGGTATATGACAGTGATGGTGTATCTGAATGATGTCGAGGAGGGAGGGGAGACAGCGTTTCCCCTAGCCGACGGTTCAGACACAACCCCCAAGGTGAGGCTTCAGACAGCACAACATCATAATTCACCGTCGATAATTAAAAGGAGACAATGGTCCGTGCACTGATGGCAATTACATGTCCGAGTTAAGGCAGTGTAATTACCGTTATTTACAAGCTCGATAAATCCATGTATCTTCATTCTTTCATAAGCGACCTGCTCCCGGAAGTGAAGGCATCATCCTTCTCCATGCTAAGTTGCTACCATTAAAGTAATACAGACTACCTCTCATCCCGGAGTGCATTTTAATGGAGAGGAGACGATTTAGATTGTGCTCAGAAAGTTTGTTAAGTTGAGCAATAATAGACCTAACTTACTCCACTACAGGAAGAACATATTAACCTGAGTCAATATTGCCAGCGGTCGGCGTTATTGGTGCAGCCTCAGAAGGGGAAGGCAGTCATGTGGTACAACAACATCCGCGACCCCGAGGTAAGGAACAACGTCGTCACTTGAGGAATTATTGGCAATATGTTCCCATGTTTCGGAATTTGTTTTTTGGTATCAACGAAGGGACACTACACCGAATTTGTTGACATTTATGACATAATATGTCGTTTATCAACATTGCTAAATATAGGATCATCCTATACATGTGGTCAGAAACATTGGTCCAAATGGTGGCGGTGGGGTAGCCTAATGGCTAAAGCGTCAGCTCGTCACTCTGAAAAGTCAGTGAAGACCCGGGTACAATGTGTGAAGCCCATTTCTGGTGTCCCCCGCCTTGATATTACGGGAATATTGCTAAAAGCGGAGTAAAATCATACTCACTCCGTCCAAATGTTTTTCGTGTCTCCACAGCTGGCATTGTTCTGGCCAAACAATACGTCAGAAAGGTACTTTATGGACCTGTGGATACTGTTGTCAAACGGTACAGATGTTTATACCGTTGTCCTGCTTGTCTTTCCTGTGTACGGTATGGTGGTTCATGTTTCAGACTGGGTGGGTCGGCACCGCTGACCCGTATTCTCTCCATGGAGGGTGTAATGTCATCAAAGGAGAAAAATGGATATTAAATTTTTGGGTCAGCACCCCACAGCACAATAGGAAATTCGGCAACAGCATCTACACAGAAAGATGGGTATGACGCCAGTGCCACGCCAAGAGGACAGGTGTCTTCAGTCAACAAACCACAAAGAAACATAAAACAACAATATTTTGTAATAAAATTGCTACACAGATACGCGTCGCTCGTTTAAAATACAATACAATACAATCAATTTCGTTTACAAGCAAGTTAAACAAACTGAACACATTACATGAGTAAGTTAATGTTGTTTTGGTGTGAGTTGTCAAACACCTGGTGTCATCCAGTATTTTCAGTGATCCGTTCATATATTTGTCACTGCTCGTCTCCCTTCACACGAAATTGAATCTGTTTTGTCGGATAATCCGCCAATAATCTGATGTTGACATTGTGTACGGTAAATAATTTTATGTGTGGGTAAGCAATGTTCCAACTATCACGGAAGATTGTTAAACCGGAGTAGTTATCCGAGTGGTTGATAGTAAAGTTACATTGCTAATTAACCCTGACAGAATAGGGCACCTGCTATCTCAGGCGGTTGAAATAGGCGACTGGAGGGATCGAACTGACAGTGGTAATAGCAAACGACGTTGAAGTACCGTTACTTCTAACAACCACAGGCGCAGCCTTACCAGACGTCATTCATGTCAGCAGCCTACCACGATATATACCACCATCAGTGTTATGGTCCACCCGATTGTTTCATATAACTATAGTTATGTAAAGCCATCACAGGTTAACCACATCAACACGAAACAATTGGGTGCTCCTTATTTCTTTAATTCTTTCTTTTTGTGGACTTAGGATGCAGTATTCCAGCTGAATGGTGGTGTTCTGTATATAATCGAGTCTGGACCAGTCAATCCAGTGATCAGCAGCATGAGCATCGATCTAGGCAACTGGGATACGATGACACGTGTCAACCCAGTCAGCGAGCCTGACCACCAGAAGACCAATTATAACCCGGATCTGTACAGGTTTTCTTGTAGTAGCCTAACTGGACTATTTGGTTCCTCTGATACCGCATCCGTGGTGTAGTGGTTAGAGCGTCCGCCCGGAGAGCGGAAGGTCGCGGGTTCGATCCCCGACCGCGTCATACCAAAAGACGTTAAAATATGGTACTTGTTGGTCCCTGCCTGGCGCTCGGCATTAATGGGTACAACAAGGACTGGTCGGCTCGGAGTCAGTATCATGTGTCTGAGTGGGGTATTCATGCTTCACTGCGGCATGGTATCTCAGTGGGCTAGCACTATAAAACCAGCTTCAGTCTGGGCTAGTACAAGCAGCCGCACATACACATACACACGCATGCACGTCGTCATATGAGCGAAATATTCTCAAGTACGACGTTAAACCCAATTTCACCTCACCTCACCTGTTAACATCATTGCCACATCGAGCCTCGAATCAATCAATTCTAAAACGTGTCAGTTAGCTTTGGAGATAATTTAATCTTGATTGTGTTCCATATAACTGTTGATTGAAAATTCTTCAAAGGCATTGTCCCATTGTTTGTCGGGTGGCGCAATGTAATTGATATTTGTAAGGATGCCTGGTTGATAACAACGTACTTTTCCAGCATTAGACAAAAACGTTTCAAACAGCCTTTTCAGTTATACTAAATCTTTATGTATGAAGTGTTCGTCCTAGTACCATGTTTCAATTTACAAGCGCATACTTTCTCTTGTGCCGGGCAGTTTAGAAACGTTTCTTCACACGTCAACCTTTCTTTTATCATTCAGCCGAAGTTGCACTCTTTGGGTAGCCCATCTGGAATCTAGTAGTCTTAGTTATGATTTATAACTCTCTAACTCTTTACATCATTCTTTTCATGTAGTACACTTATGAAAATCAACTACTGAAGTATTGGTAGCGGTGATGCGGGCAAACGTGGACCACAGGAATACTATTTGCGCCCAAGCCTCCACAGATTATAAACATCAACTTGTTCACCCAGCTGCTTGTGACCCAATGGTTCCAACAGCTCCACGGAATCAGTAAATATGATAGTCTCATGGTTGTTTTCATGTACCCACCGCAGTACTTTCCTGGCTATTGGCTCCAATAATATATGGAAACCGGGGGCGTAGCTACCATTACAAACAAAGCCCGGGCTTACACATTATTTTGAAAATGAAAGTTGGGCAAGCCTCCAATACTATCTGCATATAAAGCTTTGCAAAATATCGGGCTTACACGAAAAAATCTGGCTTGCTACGCGCCTGGAAACTTTTTCATCATTAACAGTACATCTTTGATACAGAACGCTCAGGTTTAGGAATGGTAACATGTGATATGACCTTGCGTAAGTCTCGCACTAGTTGTGTGGTCATAGTTTTCATAAATCATAGATTCCACTTTAATACCACCAAATCTGCCCATTTTGTTTACAGTGCTGTTAAATTCATGTTTGAAGAGTGAGTAAGTATGGTTTTACGCCGCTTTTAGCAATATTCCAGCAACATCTCGGCCGGGAACACTAACACCAGAAATGGGCTTCACACGTTGTAGCCATGTGGGCAATCGAACCCGGGTTTTCGGCGTGACGAACGAACGCTTTAACCACTAGGTTACCCACCGTCCCCATGTTTGAAGAAGACATCACAGAGAAGACATCGGTAGGGAAGTTGTTTAAAAAAATAACTTTATAAACCAATAACCCTGTGTTGTTTTACTGGTGTATAACCACAGTTGTTTGTGACGGATGCCGCCAGAGGGCCGGGATACACCTTTCTCTCCGCACATACCCAGTGTTGTCACCATTTGATAGTGTTTCCTATTGTGCTGAAATGCATCGTGGTCAACTATGGTGTAGTATATCACCCTCACCATAGGGACATTGTGACACCCTGGAAAACAATCGTGCCGGGAGGTTGGCGATCCCGTGTGATATGACACGCAGCTGTGCCACCAGATCAAGAATTACCTTCATATTTATTTCTAAAATTACTTTTATCGTAAATAATATTGTAACATTTGGGAACTGGCGTTATTTTCCCAGTGTCTATTAGTTACTCACATTACACATATTTCTGACAGTATTATTTAAATAATAGAATCAGCTTACTAATCGATTTCTAAAGCACCGACAATCGATATCATAAAGATGTACAACGAGACCACTTGTAAAAATATTTACTTTCTTAACTTGGAAAGTAAACCCACCATTTCTAAACAGTAATGGTGTATGTGACTATGTCAGTAGTGGTACACGTGGGGCTTACTTCTGGCTGTACAATGCGGCCTCATCGTTGAATAATATGGCCTCGAGGTAATTACCTAATTGTCACACCCTGAACCCCGCTAATATTTCGGCACGACAGAAACCTCTGACTTTGATTCGAAATTCAGGTCGAACCAATATATTTCTAGTTATGTCAGTTCTATACGTACTCGCTTACACATTTTAAAATAGACAATGGAGAACAACCCTGAATCAAACCAGAACATCAACTCCGAAAACTACAAAACAATGACAAACTTTTTATCATAAAATAAAAAACTCAAAAAACAATCCCCAACCAGATAAATAAGGAATGATCTTGCTTTGACCTAAACTGGTTGAAAGGCCTCGAGAGAAAACAACGTTTCGTTGGACATACCCTTCACAAATATTCGTATACTAGTAATGTCAACTTTCGTGGAAACATTACGTCCAGCGTTCGGCATATATGCTGTTGCCATATTTCCGGTCGTGCTGTGGAGCACTGATCCAAATACTTGAGATCCACTTTTCCCCTACTATGACGTCACATCCGCCATGGAGAGCATACCTATCCACCGGGCCGATCCATCCCGTCTGAAAATAGAAAATGAAATACATCTTGGCGAACGTAAATCTAAGCCCGTGTTGTTGTTATCCGTTCAATTACATTGACTGATCAATGTAGAGTGTGTGATGACCACACATGCGAAATGAGGCTTATTGTGTTTCGATGGGTCGACGATGAAGTCAAAGTGAAACATGAACTCTCTCTCTCTCTCTCTCTCTCTCTATATATATATATATCAATTTGCTGATATAGGCCTGGCTGTAGTTGAAGGTTCTTGCCAACTGACGTTCTGACCTCCTCATATTGTCCACACCGATCGCCCGGTATCCTTGAGCTTGCATAAGTCTTGACGTATTCGTGGTGTTTTGTTTTTTATACTGTATACTTGCTCTGTCCAACATCAATATTTATGCTACAATCATTCACTTGCATTTGGACCAGTGTCCCACAATTACGTTTTGGCGTTTAAGAAAAATGCACAGTTCGTACGATATATGTACGATATCATAAAGGACGGATACTTCTTTTCACCTTAGATGACGAACCTGAGAACCATAGTGAGCGGGCAGCACTTGTGTTAATGAACTGGGTTAAAAGTATTTGTTGATTGTGTGAAGAAGATTGTAGACGCTACCCTCCTAAGCAAGGACATGGCGTGAACTATCACGGATGACACAATGAGTGCATAACGTGGATGTTGGCAGGGCAGACAATTCTGCACAGTACGTCAGACACGTGGTCACCTGACACTGACGCCATTATCCATGTGATGCCAAGCTTATTTTGTATTGATGGCGTGGAACCTTCTCATTCTGTCTAAAACTGATTTTGTTCATAGGGCACAGTGGAATACCTAAAATCACCCAACATTACTTGTCACGCTGAAGACCCGGGTTCGATTCCGCACATGGGTACGTGTGAAGCCCATTTCTGGTGTTCCCCGCCGTGATAATGCTGGACTATTGCTGAAAGCGGGATAAACCGTACTCACTCACTCACTCATCATCCTCACCACCTCCTACCTCAGGGTCCCGGATGTTATTGTACCACATGATCGCCTTCCCCATCTCCGGGCGCACCAACACCGATGACCGTTGACAATGGGTGCTGAGATCAATATGTTCCTCCTGTAGGTGTAGACGTAGCCTCGTTGTACATTAACGTTACCAACAAGAGATATCTTAAAATACATCACCAAAAATACGCTTTATGCAGATTGTAAAACACATTCTAGATTACACACTGTGTTCTGCAGAAACCCTTAAACTACAAACAATGTGGAGCCATCACTGCCAAAGCTGACATCACCAATTTCAAACAGAAAGTGTCATGTCGTCTTTTCATTAACCGAAGCCACAAAACTCTTCAGACAATCA